GAGCTCGAATAGGCTTGGTTCATTATCGAGCTTAAGTCGAATCGAGCTTGAATATATAGTTTTTTCATTCAAGTTGAACTCGAACTTGAATATATTTCTAGTTCGAATTGAGCTCAAGCCTTGTAATGTTATACCAAGCTCATCTCGAATACCCAAATATTTGGCTCGTCTCGGTTCGAATCCACCCCTAGTTGAGGCCATGCATGTGCGCCAAGTTCCAAGGTAAGTTACCAATCTACCTTTCAGATGGCATGTGCTAATCTTCGCTACATGCCACATGTTCCAACCAACAACCACAACCACCTCCAAACATTATCCATCCACCAACAAAGATAATTAATCATAATTAATCACAACCATTTGGTTTCATGATAACCCTACACTTGTGTGCCATAGAGGCTTGTAGCCATATGTGTGCACATCTAGCACTTAGCTTGCCTGTCTCTAGCTAATGTAGCTCTCATCTCACCTTAACTAGCAAGCTTATAACTTAGCTAGCAAAGGACCTTGCTTGCCTAACTTAATTAGTTGCCATCTGCCATGCCACAATAGTCATGGTTGAGTTATTGTAGCATTATGCATGCATGATTGCTTCCAAATCCTTGTTGACTACATAATGTCTTCACAAGATATGTGTGTCCCTACAGCACTTGGTCACCTGCACATCAACCCACCATTGGTTGTGCTTTCCTTGACTAGTTACCAAACCATGTGTGCATTGAGGGATTGTACCATGGAAGATTCACTACCCCTTCTCAAAGAGTACCCTTTTTTATTTTCAAAGAATATTGTAATAATTCAAATAAAGGGAAAACTCCATCGATAAAGCTTGGTCCAACCACACAAGGAAAGAGTTAGATCAAAGCCTGAGGACGAAATAGCCTTAGAGGAAATCCAATGAGCCACTAGATTAGAGCTTCACAAAAAACAAACTTAATCTAACTTTAATGGAAACCTGGCACTAACTCTTGAATGTCTAAAAATAAGGGACAATGCATTCTAAACCTGCTTCCTTTAAGGTGGGAGATGTGAAAAAAGTAACTCTTTATGCTGTGCTTGGAAACAATGCAAATAAGTGTGAAAAACATGTAGAGTGTATTCATATAAATTGCAAAATTGGGTTAGTTTTGCACTGACATGTTTTACCTTCTTACCAAATAGACTTTTAGCTGTAATGGATGCAAACATGAATTCCAATAAAGCATATGCTCTCTCTCTCTCTCTATCTTTTTTTGTTTTTTATTGAAAGCCCACTTGAATGCAAATTTAGTTTTTTTTTTTGATGTGCTTTTACATCTTATTATCAATGTAAATATGTATTGGTCTGTCATTTGTCAATGCATAAATGTAATGTTGCCAAACACAGGCAAAAGTGAACCATAGTGCAAATTTACCCTGAATCGGGATTTACACTCCATTTGCATCGTTTCCAAACGCAGGCTTAACATTTGATTCCAAAATAATATTAGATAGGCCCAATCGTGATGCGAGAATCGACCACAACACACATCTAGAGCCTTAGCCACAGTTGTTGAAGATGCTGCTAATTTGCCCATATCAAAAGCAATCACTTGACCATTCAAGTTCTTAATGATAACTCCCACACCTATCACTCCATTATCTTAAAAAAATCTGCATCAGTGTTTACTTTAAATACTCCCACTAGCAATCTTGACTAGTCACTTATATTCTTAAAAAGTATCTTAAGCTTTTGGCACTTCACCAAAAGATTACATCAAAGTTTTTGAACATATATTGATATATTTACAAAATTCCTATTCATATCCCCAACATTTTAGACTATCACATTGCCTTGTGCCTAATGCAACTAGCATTGTCTTAGATTGCAACTAGTATTATGGTCCTTGTATGAAGCATCTTAATTCCTTGTGGAAGTCTAATTGACTAATCCACCCCCAAGTGCTCACAACCCATGTGCATTGTGGCTCTAACCGTGTTGGCCTTGTTTGAACCAAGGCCCATTTAAGTTTGAAAAATGTCTTTCACCACCTATGTCATATGTCATGTGCTGACCTACTTGATGCATGTCTACTTGCGTTAGTCCACCTAAGCTTAGTGCTCACCTTTACCTAGGCCAAGTGCTTGCCTTGTTTGTGCCACATGCTTGCCAAGTCCATGCCAGGTGTCTATGAGGTTAATTGTTAGCTAGATTAGGTGATGATAAGACACCACCCACTCTAATCCAAAGACACATAGGGAGAAGTTGGTTAAAACATCACAACCTTGTACCTTGACCCCTTATCCAGATTTCAATGTGTTTTTTATGTAGTTGTACACATAACAGTTAACTAAAAGCTAACATTAAATAATTGGCATTTTCACCACTCAAACCCAACTAGACTCATAGTAAACCCATTTGGGGTGGATGAGCTTCCCAACTAACTTGCTCCATCGACATCACTATCAAGAGGTAATTAACTAATAAGATTGTATGCAATGCAAATATGTTTGTTTTCAAATTGTTGCTGCCAAGGATGGGTCGAGGGCAACAAGGTAAATGTGCTCCCTTTAGCCGAGGGCTGACGAGTCAGATGGATGATGTGTTCAGAGGCTGCAGTGTCCAATTTGGGGATCATAGAGCACGTCAGAGGCCCCAGGTGTTATCCTAGGGGCGGAGACTTCGATTGTCAAGTTAGTCAAGTGCGTAGCAAGGGGTCAGACGAGGCATGAGTAGAGAGAGCTCATACGAGGTCACCATAGAGCTTAGGGAGATTAGAGCAGAAGAAGCCAAGATAGTTTACCTAGGGAGTGACACAATTATTTATACTTAAGCCCGCTAGGGATTGGTTGGAGGTTGTTAGCAGTGGACGACCAGGATTGCATCCGACTGATGCCACATGGCGCCATCCTAGCATGCCACATGCGCCTACATCACAAATCATCATCATCATCCAAGCCTTATCCCAAGTGGGGGTTGATTACTTGAATAATGTTTGGTCATTCCATTTTGTTAAATGTCACATCAATTGTTAAATTATAAGTATTTAAATCACTTCTTACCATTTCAGTCAATGTTCTACCCGTTAGTCCTTTTAGCCCCTTCAACTTGCAGTAATGGTCTTATATACATGAAATCAAACTAGTTTAATCTATTTTCTCACATTTAATCACCTATTAGAGCTATTCCTAGATTTATCGGAATGACTTCATTTCTAACCCTATCACTATAGACATTTATGCCACATTTGTTTTTAGGACATGTTACTGAATTACCAAACACTATGGATCCATAGAACATAGCCGGTCTTACATCTTTGATATTCACCTATATATCTGAAAATGACTTGTCCATCCTTCTTTAATTATAGGTCTATGACCCACCTCATCCTTTGCTTGTTTCAATTTTCAAATGGATAAATTTCTTAAATTACCCTAATTGACCAAGTGTACCCTTATTGTTTGAAAATTGATTAACATTACCCCTAATGTTTTTGACAATTGACTAATACTTCCCTTACCATTAACCTTCTGTCATAAACCATTTAAATATACCATCACGTGATTGTTATAACTTCCAAATACCCAACTTACCCTTTTATGTCTCCTTTACCAGCACCAGCACCAACATCTGCATCAATCATCAATGTAGATGCATGAGAATCGTTCGACGAGGAGGTCCTCTTGGAGCTTGTTCAGACATTAACGATGCCGCCGAAATTGACCATGGGCTTGGAGACATCAGAGATTTCAATTGGAGAGAAATAATCGGCTTTGTTATAGGGTGAAATCTTTGGCTTTGTTCCAGCGTGAAATCTAAGATTTTAATTTGAGAGAAATCTTCGCCGGTGATTTCAACTTTTGCAAGAGTAGTCTTCACGAAACATATAATGCTCTTCACTCTCCCCTCTTATTCGACAACCAATAATACTGTGTTTTCGACAACCAATATTCGGTTCTATTACTGGTCACTTTTTGCAAGGCTTTTTTATATTACCCAATAATACTGTGTTTGCATCTCCTCTACATTTGGTAGCTTATTGTCATGGCTTTTCTTGATACGAAGCTTTTATTGTTTTATTTTATTTTATTTTCTGAAAAAGGAGGGAAGAAGAACGGTTGGTATGGAAGCTCTAGAAAGTAATTCTATAGTGTTTTTTTTTTACTCAATACTCAGTAATCAGCTACATTTGGTATTTTTTCATCTCTTGCTTGTTTTCAATATATAATTTGGTTGTTAGAGATGACAGTGATGAGGAGGTACTACTTGCCCGCTGCCATTATACACAAGTAGAGGTCGACGACTGCATTTGGTTATTCAGAGACGATAGAGATACGTGGAATATTGGTTGCAGAAAGTGACCAGTAACTCTCCCCTTCGGAAACACGGTCCAAGTGACCAGTGACTCGGTAATCGCTGTCCTTTGTATGTCAACAGTCGCATGAATCTCGTTCGGTCTCATCTCTAAGGAAGTGGGATTGCTGGTTTTGATCTAACTAAGCGGGCAGCCACCAGTGACGCTATGACGAGATTAACGAACAAGCCTTTAAAAGAGAGAAGATCGGCTTGACGGATTTGATGAAGGCCAGGATGGTGTTCAGAAGTTGTAGCAGCCGTTGTCACCTACGAAGATGATGGTGCTTGGTCTATGTTTTCAAGCATTAAAGTAAGGGAGAAAAAGGTAAATTTAGCTTTGGTCTTAAGTTTATATTAAAAGGTAAAATGGACATTTTAACCATTCCGTTCATATTTAAAGATGTTCTTAAGGTTTAGTCAATTATCAAAAACAGTATTAGACAATTTTCAAACAGAGTACACTTAATTAACTAAACCAGTAATTTAAGAAATTTACGATTTCAAATCGATACCATAAAAATGAACAACAGCCATGGCAGGGAGCATACCTCGTATATTCATGCATGTGAATATACGACTGTGGGACACCAGCCAAGCCATGCCACGTAATCTAGAAAGCATTTGACTAGCAGAGCATTCACATCCACACAACCAATAAGAAGAACAGACGTGTTCCCTCCCCCTTCCTTCTTCAGTATCACATATAATTTTCGTTGCTCGATCATTGCTGGCAAAGAGCACTAGCAGTCCAGTCCGTCTAGAAACTGGAGTAAAAATCCGGGTTTTACAGTTATGGATCTTGCTTGCAAGGTGGCTTGTGCTCGGCCGCCTCCGCCGGGTTCAGGCTGGCGTCACTCTGGTCCATCTCGGTCATCGAGTAATAAGCAGCAGATTTCAGCGGCACTCAGAATCTCAAATCTTGCTTCATCTTCTTCTAGCACTGGCTTGCGGCAGAGAGCGGCGTCTGCTCCGTTGACGACTACGGCGATAAAGGGGGCTGACAATTCCAATGGCAGCTTACCGATACAGAACGGTGGATTGTCGGGGAAATCCAGTAGCGCCATGGAGCAGCTTGATATTGAAAGGGGTGTTTGTATTCCGTTCCGGAAGTACTCTCCTGAGATTGTATGTCCTCATTTCTTTATCTGTTTCAAAATAAGAATGTCGTGTGGAGTTTTATGAATGATCTCTCCTTTCGGTTCCCAGATTGAGTTCTGATATGGTTGGCTCCGATGTATCTGTTAATTAGGTCAGGAATACAGTTTTGGAATCTAGAGGGGCTATTCTGTTTCTGGTGGCTCGAGGGGTGGAGATAGTTTGGAACTTGGGGCTCTATTGGTCTGGCCTTACGTACGACTTCTTTGTAGGACGGGATGAAGAAGTGGTGCCTTACCGAGCCAGACAGCTTAGGAATCTCTTGTGTGATTTGGGGCCTTCCTTCATCAAAGCTGGGCAGGTTATTAATGTTTGCTTTGGTTCCATCCCTCTGTTGTCTAACTTCTCTCTCATGCTTCTGAAAGATTAATTGTTGATTGTGTGTTTTCCATCCTTTTTAATAGGTTCTGGCCAACAGACCGGATATTATTAGGGAAGATTACATGAATGAACTCTGCATTCTTCAAGATGACGTTCCTCCTTTCCCTAATCAGGTAAAATTATATTCTTATTCATAGCAAATCATCTATGTTTCAGAGACGGAACGCTTTCTGATATTTATCTACCCGGGGTGGTTGATGCCATAAAACAAATGTGTCTCAGAAACATTTGAGCAAATTTCTTTCTGGAGATGCAATCTGATTTTATCATTTATGTCTTGTTTTTCCATCATGCAACTTGAAGTGAGAATTTGGGTTTCCATCTGGGTCAATTCAATTTTAAGATGGGGTGGTTTATTTAGGGTTAAGAAACATCAACCAAGCTCAATACCAGGTTTAGGACATGGGTAACATAAGTCAGTATGGACTTTGATTATATGTATGTTTCTGTATTTTGAAAATAAATCTTTTTTGGAAGAATAGGAACATCAAAGAGGTTGGCAGTTGCCCTAGTGCAGAAGCCTTGTATTGAACCAAAGGAAGTGCAAGTTCAAATAATACTAATTTCTCCCTTTTTAAAAAATTTTCATTCCCATATATGGTGTATGAAATACTCCACATAGGCAAAGTTTTGACGAGACTTAATTGAAGAGAAATAAAACAGAAAAGGGGAGACCACACTTATATGCATCTATACAAGTAAAGCACCTAGGAATGTGAAAATTTAAGAACACCATCTTGGACATCTTTTTATTGCACAAATACATGAACCGGGGAATCTGCAAGGAGGTGTATGCTTTTAGGATATTTTGGATTTGCTTCCCTAGCATCTCATATCAGCTGAAGACTTCTAAGTTCCTCTTTAGGGAAACATCTCCATTTCATCAACTATTTTTTTTTTTTGCAACTAATTGTGTTCTTATAATTTTGGCAGAATGAAAGCTTTACTTTGGGCAGTGAATTTGTTTGATGCTTTTATAGGTTGCCTTTGCCATTATTGAAGAGCAATTGGGCCAGCCTTTAGAAGCAGTATTCAGCAAAATTTCACCACAAACAATAGCAGCTGCAAGTTTGGGTCAAGTTTACTGTGCTACTCTACGTAAAACAGGGGAGGATGTTGCCATTAAGGTTGAGTGTATAATATATGGTGGTAACCTTCTTTCTTCTTTTCCTTTCTATCTTTTCTGCAATCATTTTCATTAAATACAAAAACTTATGCCTTTATATAGTCTCCATTTATTCAACATCTTAATTCTTGAGACAACAGTCTTTCCAAGATGACATTGTCATAATCCATACCTAGCTGAAGCTTACTGCTTTTACATGTGTGGAGGCACCATAAAACTTTTAAGCTTTCCATTTATCTGCAGTAGGAATAATGCCTAATAAATCTGACACTATGAAAGAATCAAACTAGTTATGCATAAGGGACTTCAGTCTTGGTTAACCATGCCAATCTTAAAACACTTTCTTCCTGAAGGTGCCAGCTAGTCTGCTCCTAAAGTCTCTAGCTGGTTGTAGTGGAGACCTGGTATCAAGCCTTGCCTTCACTTGGGTTGGAGGGCCTAGGGGTTTTGGGGGGAGGGCTACCCTTGTTGTGTAGCTCATTACCGAAAAAAAAAACTTGCTTCCCAAGCAACTAGACCCCTTCATTGGCTCATTTTGGTTATCACACTGTTTTGTGTCCTAGAGGAGAACATTTAAGCTAGGCTGCATGCAATGCAGAGTTGTTTCCTGTATACTGTAGATAACAGAAATGTAAAGGAACCTAAGAGTAGCTTTAATAGGTGATAGAATCTGAGAAAGTAGACTAAGGTTGTTTGCTCATGTGTGGGGAAGACTATCTACAGCACTAATGAGAAGTGATCTGCTACAAGTTGAAGGGTCTAAAAGAGCTAGGGCAGGCCAAAGAGGACATGCCATGGGTTGAAGTGGTTGTAAATGATTTAAGGACTCATTGTTTAACAAAGGGCATGGCACTGAATGGAGCAAAATGGTAGAGCAGGAATCATATAGCTGATTCCATTAGTTGGGCCCAAGGTTTTAAAAGCCGACCCAGAAACAGAACTGCTTTGCAGTGGTCACCAGCAAGTTGCGGTTGAAAGAATCTAAATTTTGATGGTAGCTGTGTGGGTAATCAGGGACTACCAGGCATTGATGGAGTAATAAGGGATGAGAAAGGAATTATACTCTCATTGTACTCAGATCCAATTGGGCAAGGTGATGTACTCAGATCAGAATTTTTGGCAACAGTTTATGGGTAGAGGTGTAAATCAGGCCGGGCCGCGGCCCGGCATGGCACGACAGCCCACGGGCCGTGTCAGGCCCGACACGATGGTCCGTGCCGTGCTGGGCCTGGGGTTTGAAGTCCATAGGCTGGCATGA